GAGAGGGGGAGGGAAAGGGAGATTGAGAGGAGGAGGGGAGGGAGAGGGAGAGGGAGACGGAGAGCGAAAGGAAGATGAAGAGGAAGAGGGGGACGGAGAGGGAGAGGAATGAAGGATTTGATGAATGAAGGATTGAGAGGAGAAGAGGGAGGGAGAGGGGGAGGGAGAGGGAGAGGGAGAGGGAGAGGGAGAGCGAGGGGAGAGAGATAGGAATAGGGATAGGGAGGCGGAGAGGGAGAGGGAGATTGAGAGGAGGAGAGGGAGAGGGAGATGTAGCGAGGGAATAGCGCGCTCGTCACGAGAGGATGTTGATGAGTGTCTCACAGGGTGCTGCTGCGAATCACTATAAAGGCAGCAGTGATCATTGGAGTCGTAAGCAGCGGCACCAATATTGCAGAGCATCATGCAGGAGCTCTGAAGGATACTGGCATCGGAAAAGCCTCGAGGGTGCCGCCGGACACGCGTAGGGGATGTGATGTGGTGGCGTCAAGCGTCAAGCCTTCATATCGCCTTATCAAGTCACCGCCGAGTTCTTCACATCGCTGCATGTATGTATCCTCGTAGGAACGCAGAGAATGAGAGCAAGAGATAGATAGATAAAGAGAGAGTCGTGTGCGAGCGAGAGAACAGGACGGTCGAGGAATATTAACAGCGAGGTATTCTGTGTAATTATCATGAATTCTCTCTGCCCCTAATCAGTAGCAATGCGTGCTATCAGCTTCTTCACTGAGATGCATCAGAAGTGGGTTATGACTTCGGATTTCCAGAGAGTTGATCGCCCCTCCTAGCAAGCTTCAGTCCGTAGACGCGCCGGCATGTCATGCGGAGACAGCTTGCTACATTGTAACGAGGTCTGGAGTCTGCAGGCATGGACGAGAATACGCGTTGCATGCGTGAATGTGTGATGTCGATGAGAGCGTTGCCTGTTGATTTCCATGAGGTGACCTAAAGCTTAGATCGTTGGTCTGACGATGATGGATCAGGAAAGGCAAGTGGAGAAGGTCGGAGGAGTCGAGGCAGGAGTTCATTGACTTAGGGACGGGTTGGGGTAGAATTTAGTTTACCGTTACGATTAAGCGTAAATTTGAGTGCTCAATTTCATAATCTACGCGTTTACACTATTCGGAAACCCGCCCTGACACCATGGTAGGTTATGCATTGACCTTCCTGGCTCGTCGCAGACTCGAGTCCTTTACCGTCGCAAACAGCAGCTACAGGTAGTCTCGTTGTTTGGCTAGAGTGAGTGACATGGACCACCCCGATAATGGTCTAATGTAAATCATAATTAAAAATAGGCTTTAGTAGGCCTATCGAGCCGAATTACAGCCATATCTAGCACTAGACATTGCACTATATCTGACAGCCCCGACGCAATTCAATATATACCAGTGAGTGTCGTCTACACAGATTCTAACATGCATGTAATATATATAATCACACCATTGGTAATGCAATTCCCCCATTACTCTAGAATTATTGTTGAAATTCCGTAGGGGTATTATCTAATATCTATCCATTTTAACGCCGATATACCACGCCGAACACTACGATATAACAGTATTACCTGTCATCGCTAAGAAAGTGGCTCACGCAGAGCCATGTGAGGTTACGTGAAGCCATTTGCTACACATAAATATGACCAACTGCACTTTTACGGTTATATATTCAGCCAGTAATTTGCGCGCTTGTCAAAAATTTGCAGCGATTTGTCTGATTTCTACTCCCACGTATCTTGTCTGGATCTAACAAAATTATAAAATTTCGTACATGCAGTTTCAAACGTATACCACTTCTGAACAAACATTTAACTGCGTATTTCCCTTACAGTGAAAAATGATATGAGTGATGTAGCACCAGCCTATAAGGGCCATGGCGGTGCATAAAGGAATTCGTTTCGGCAGTTACACTCGCAAGTGAATATACAAAAAAATATTAATTAAAAAACAGCCTCTAGGAGCGATTGTGTATTTTACAAGAAGGCGGTAAGGCGAGGCCGTAGCTAATATGCTATTTGATCCGGCAGTTGGTGCTGATGCGCTACATAGATGTTTACAGATGCACTCGGGTTGCGATGATATACCCGTCGGGTTGCGAGGAACGTAACAACGTTTCTGAATGGGGAACTACTTTGCAAACTCCTAATGAGGAAAAACAAACATCGCGCAGCAATTGAGCTCATGTCAATCCGAGCATCATCGTATATCAGCAGCTGTTGGTTCGTGCATCTATATGTATATATCTCGATGCCAGAATATTTATAGACGTGCATCTATATGTCATAGAATCTCTTGATACATGCATCTTTAGACACTGAGATATTCAGAGATCATCAACATCTCTCTATCCTATCCCTTTTTGCGGACTGCTAGATGGAATCTAGCAATCATCAAAACCTGACATGACGATTATCACAGATGTAGCATCGGCGGGCTTCTGTATACCGACTCACCGAGAAGCAGCGTTCCCACGACCGCAGGGGAAACGCTGCCCGAGAAATACTGAAATACAATTTCGGCGTTCGAAGAAAAACACGTATTGCACCCCGAGTAGGACGTTTCTCCAGATGCTCGTGGGAAAAACCGGCGTGAAGCCAGGACCAAAGACGACAGGGCGCAGCAGCTGGAAGACGTTCGTCCTCCCCTCACCCGTATGATGAAAACCTGACCTAAGAAAAACCAATCCTCCTCTCATGGAAGCCAGTCAGAACAGAACTACGGATTGTTTCATTATACGGCGGCGGGGATGTATATCTATTACTCGGGGAACGGTATTTACACTCACTGTCATTCACTGACACGCGATGGGTAGCATGTACAAGACATCTGGTTCCGTCACCCACAGACAGCTAGCTGTGTTCGCAGCGTCATAAGCGCACTGCAGAGCTCCCCAGCATCACCACCACGAACGCCGTGCTCCACCGACACGTGCATTGCATTACCACAGACCGCATCCCATGCAGTCCCACCACAGACCCCCATTTACCAGCCTCTCACATGCAAAGCATCACAAAACTGTACCGCCAACGAAAAATAAACGCGAATAATTGTTTATCGGTAAAGGTTTCTTCGCCCTAGGTATAGTCACTACCTTCCTCACAACTTCAACTCTTCTCCACTAACACATACACGCTACCATTCTACCGTACACAAGGACGCATGGTGCCAAAGAATAAGTCAGGTTTTCTGATGTCAGTCGGTTCGTGCATTGCAAACGCTGAATTCTCCAGATGTTTACATTGATTGATGATTGATTGATCGCGCGCAGTAACAACAATAGTTAGTACGATCACAGGCCCTTGAAACGTTTCAATAGTAAAATGATGTTAATAAACACGAAATGTATTTACTACCAAAGTCTTAATATTTCTCTACTCTATTTCGCCTATTATTGCCGATAATCTCTTGTAAATGCCGTGCAAATGCTCCTCTGCAACACAGATGTACACCGCACGCACGCCGCTGTGCATAAACAACGAGAATAAAGAGTTTCTTTCTCATTCTTTATTCTTTATCCTTGTACTTGACAAAGACCTTGATAACAAATACCATTTGTGTTTATTTGCCGTAAATTAATTATTGGCTAAATCTCGCTCTCGTTCTTTCTGCACATTTTGTTGCAAATATAACACTTTTTAAGTCTAAAACCCGGCAGGTGCCTGCTCAGCTTCCCTGCCGGGCACGGTTCTAATCGGCCCTGTAGTTTAGGATCAGATACTGGTACCGAGATGCAGACGTTGCTCTATAGCAACCATATATCAGAAGTTTCATTAGCAGACATGGAACCACTGATTGAGTGTTGACATTAGAGCTATATTGGCTGTACACTCCCTGCTTAGCTGAATCTATCCCGTGATGTCGTCATCAGGAGCTTTTCATAGCATCGTGACCTAGATCTACGGACACTGCGCACAACTCTCAACACTATACTGTCGCAAATGAGTTAAAGTTAATTAAGATTAAGTTTAAGGTTAGAATTAGGGCTATATTTAGCATTAGGGCTAGGGTTAGGGTATAGAGTATAGTTAGGGTTAAAGTTTTGGTTAGAATTGGGGTTGGGGTTAGAACTACTGTTAGGTTAAGGATTAGGGCTCAGGATGGAATCATTTTCAGGCTTATAGCTAGGTTTAGTGTTAGGGTTAAAGTAGGGTAGAAGCTAGGGTTAGGGTTAGGGTTAGGGTTAGAGTAGGGTTAAAGCTAGGGTTAGGGTTAGGGTTAGAGTAGGGTTGAAGCTAGGGTTAGGCCTAATGCAACTAGTTCGGTCTAAACGAGGAAAACACTTGCTAAATTTACTCTCAACCGTGAGTACCTTTCAGATATCTGTTGGATATACCCTAGAGCATGGGCAACACAAGCGCTTTCGCGTACGTTCTCAAGCCATCCGCGTACATTCTCATATATCTAACGGTATTACACAATCAGGCGCCCGTCGCGGTGGGCACTGATCCGAATCCTAATTAGAAGCAGCCACCAGAAACGGAGAGATTTCAGCAATTACGACCGCCGACCTATGACTGGGCAGCAGCGGGGCGCAGGATGCGGCTTTTGCGTTGCCATAGCAATGCGCATCGCCGCGACACGCCCGCAACCTTCTGGTTAGTGACAGAACTCGCTGTCGCGTGTACGGTTATCGGCTGCCATTGTTTGTCGTCATTGCGGCTCTACTGATACATCGAAGCATAAAACTAGATACTGCTCCCAGTTAAGCCCAAGCAGCACTGATTGTATTTGTAGCAATACCATAAATGTAGACAGTCCCTCCTAGAGCATATACAACTTACTTAAGCTAGAGACTGTTTCCTCATCGTGAAACGTACAGTAATGCCCGAGATCGTGCACCAGGAATAGGGGAAGACACGGTTGGGGAACTTTGGAAGAGTAGACTTGTGGAATGTATAAATTTGTAGTTAGTGGCTCATCATGTGCGCGTAACGTATGTACGGCTAGTGTGTCGCATACAAAGAAAGCATGATTGAGAGAAATTAAGGCAGATGCAATACTTACACGAGGTGTACTCCTGCAGCTGATGAAACTCCGAAGGCGACAACTTCTCCCAGTGTGTCGTCGGCTTCGATCGCGCCTCCATCATCGTTGACCAAGCTTATTGTTGACTGCTTGCGCTACTAGACGGCACCACTAGTCCATCGCCCACGCACTAATCACGAGGAGGCGCTGGGAGAACAAAGAGATTGTTTCCGCGCGCCGTTCGTGTGCATGGCGCCGTGTGTTAGGCCACGAAGGAGTCAATCGCACGTATATCTGCACAGCTGAGCTCTGAGGGTGTTACACCGCCGGTGACTGAGTGTTGGATGGTTGGCGCGGTATTTACGGCGGCTCTACCAGTGTCGCCCCGAACAACACAACATCACAGCGCAGATGGCCGCCACAGGCGATGAGGGTGACCTAGACACGTGCTTCACAGCATCCGGTGTGCAGAGCAGCACCCTCCCGACGACAGGCTTTACGTTGCTTTATCCAGACCTGTGGAAATACTGAACGATCAGCGGGAAGTTTGTGAGAATACTGACTAGTAAAGATTGAATATGTGAGAATACGCGAATTCGCAAGCACACGCCCTCTCTTTTTCTCTTGCTGTACGTCCCCTATCCCTCTCTACATCCCCCCTGTTCCTGTCTCGCTCTCTCGTTCTCGCCTTCGCCATATCTCTCTGTACATCATTCCTATCTCGGCCACGAATATACATCTACTCAACACGTAAACCTAGTGTGAAATCGGTGCATACGTCTAATGCTATAATAGCAAACCAACTATCACTCATCCATCTAGCACATAGATGAACCGACAAAGTGGACCGGGCGTATCGACCAGATATAACAAGCGCCAGTTATGAATCCAGCCTCAGCTACTCAAGTTAGTCATCGTCACCGGACAACTATTTCAACCGAATCTTTTAATGATGCGCTCCTATCTACACTTGTATACATGCATACATACACGAACGTATCCACACACACACGCGCACACATACACGCACGCGCACACACGCACTCACGTATGCACGCATGCAAACACTCACCAAAATGTCGGGAAACTGGCAAACAAATGAATTTGATTGATGGTGATAACGTTAACTTCGTATCACGAGTTTGTGATGTTCGCGAGGCTCTACGTGTGTGCGCTGAGCAGGAAGGCATGCTGAACAACACTGTGAGAATCACACTGTCACTGAATGGCCTATTCACACAGCGGCGCGTGCCTGTATATCACAGCAGTGCGCGCATGCGTACGCGCTGGCATGTAACAGCGCCGCGTGCCAACGTGCGGCAGCAGCGGGTGCGTGCGCGCATGCATGCATGCCACAGCTACGCGCGTGAGCGCGCGTGCATATCACAGCAGCAAGTGCGAGCGCGCATGCATGTCACAGCTACGTGTGTCTGCGTGCAGTGCTGTACGCGTGTGCGTGCTCGCGTGTATGACTCAGCGGCGCGTGCCTGCGTGTCGCGGCAGTGCGTACGTTCGTGTCACAACGTAGTGTGCGTGCGTGCGTACGTGCATGTCCCAACGTAGTGTGCGTTCGTGGGTGAGTACGCGCGTGTCACAACGCCGTGTGCGTATGTGCGTACGTGCGTGTGACAATGTAGTGTATGTGCGTGTGTCCGTGCGTGTCACAACGTACTGTGCTTGCAGACGTACGTACGTACGTATGTGTCACAACGTAGTGTGCGTGTGTGTCACAAAGCAGTGTGCGTGCGAAGGTACGTGTCACAACGTAGTGTGCGCTCATGCCTACGAGCTTGTCACCACACAGTGCGGGTGCGTGCGTTCGTGCGTGACACAGTGCATGGAGTGTGTGTGCGTGCGTGCGTGCGTGCGTTTCACAACGTAGTGTGTGTGTGTGTGTGCGTGCGTGTCATAACGTAATGTGTGTGAGTGCGTGTGTGTGTGTCATAACGTAGTGTGTGTGAGTGCGCGTGTGTGTGGAATGTGATTTCAGCGAAGGCGCTAAAGAATAGATAATGCGGAATTTCTTGTTCTGTGCCGTACACGCACGACACACACACGCGCACTCACACACACTACGTTATGACACACACACACGCACTCACACACACTACGTTATGACACACACACGCGCACTCACACACACTACGTTATGACACACACACACGCACTCACACACACTACGTTATGACACACACACGCGCACTCACACACACTACGTTATGACACACACACACGCACTCACACACACTACGTTATGACGTCTGTACAGCATGACCTAAGTGTGATGGTTGATTACCCTGTTCAACAGAATCCTCTCTGCGATTGAAGACATGAACGAAACGCGGCGTGGATGTGTCGAGTGAAAGCTGAGCTCATAACCTTGTTAGGCCGACAACCTACCTGGGTGCGCAGTAGAGAGCTATATGCGCGTAGCCTTGGCTTTCCCGCTGCCTCGTCCACGCTTCGTGTTTATCCCTTCTTGACGCAGTGTCAACCTGCAATACGAAGACAACGTGGTTTAGCGCGTAACTCCGAGCGCCGTCTTAATAACACTGGTCGTTTTCTAAACGCGATATGTTAATTAAGTCAGGTAAACGTGTATAACAAGTCGACCTAAGAACAAATCGCTGCGGAAACGTTTCCGTGTGTATGCGTGTGAGAGAGATGGAGAGAGAGAGGGGGAGTAGGGAGAGGAGAGAGAAAGCGAGAGGCCGAGCTAGGGGTAAGAGAGAGAGAGAGAGAGAGAGAGAGAGAGAGAGAGAGAGAGAGAGAGAGATAGAGACAGTTCGAGTTACGGTAACAGAGCTGATTTATTATGAACGAACTCTTGTTGTTCGATCGGTGGCAATTACGAGCGCTGACTATTAACATAACCTCTCATATTGCGCCCGCGTGATGACGAAGCTACCGCGTAATTAACGATGGAAACATGTTTGTTAGCGCTCGGGATTCCGCGGGACCGTATAGAACCCATACAGTTCTGCCTGAACCGATCCACGCGAATCGCAACTGATAAATGCTAACCTAAATTAACGGTATTGACGGACAGTGTTAGTAACCGTCTATTTGACATTGGTCGAATCGCTTCGTGCTACATACGTAATCACCACGTATAACGGTATATTGTGTATTAACATGCTGCCTACATAATTATTGCAATTAACCCGGTGCCTCTACGTACGTAGAACACGGAAGCACGCTTCAGTTTTCTGGAATATATGTAATTTTTCTTGCTGCTGACATTATAATTAAAGACATGCCGGCATGCAGTCGCGCGCAGTAATGCACGCGCATAGACCCACAGCAACGCAAAGAGAGCATGTCATCGGTCATGACTTTCTTCCGTTACTTATGACTACGTTTCTGCAGCTTAGCCGTAAGCATAGGCTCGCCGTGGGCGGCACACGGCATGCATGCATAAATCCGTGACGTCACCGGTTACGTCCATCAGCGGCCACGACTCACGTGTTCATCTAATTAGGAATTTAATCAAGTTAGAGGGGAATTAGGAGCATTTCACGAGAAAATGCCACGGGTAAAATGAAAACGTGGGTACGTAAGCGCGCACGCATACGCCCCGTGCGCGTCTGCGTGTGTGTGCGTGCATACGTGCGCGCGTGTGTGAACAGTTATATTGGCATATCGGCCAAATTAATTTAAAATTACATTAAAAGAAGTGGAAGTGAAAAAATCTACTAACGGGAGCTGGAGTTGGGGAGGAGAGAAGGGGACGAAGCGCGTTTCGACATTTTTTTTTGGCGCGCTGTATTCGAATAGCGGCACTCGACAGCCTCACCCTAAATTACCTCACAGCAAACCGATTACATTACAGCAAACCAATTACATTACATCAAACCGATTATATCGCAGCAGAACGCGATATTACGTCACATTTCGTTAGCATCCGTGACGCTTCTGTGCAGAGTTTACACCATTCGCATCTCATCGATTCAAGCGCCATCCGGCCGTCATGTCATCCACATCCCCTCGTCTCGTCTACTAATAAATCAAGAACGGTGCACTCAGTACGAGGCGAAGGAGGGTCATCGTTACTGGCATAAATGTTATTATCGTTATTGGCATAAATAATATTTTCTTCGAATCATCTGTTTTCATAATCAGTGCATGGATACCTGCGCTCGTGTGTGTGTGCGTGCATGCGTGCGTGCGTGCGGGCGTGCGTGCGTGCGTGCGTGCGGGCGTGCGTGCGTGCGTGCGTGTGTGTATGTGCGTGCCGGCGTGCGGGCGTGTGTCCGTGTGCGCGCGTGCATGCGTTTGTGTGTTCGTGCGTATATGCGTGTACGCGTGCGTCTGCACGTGCGTGTGCGTGTGTTCGTGCGTATATGCGTGTCCGCGTGCGCGCGTGCGTGTGCGTGTGTTCGTGCGTATATGCGTGTACGCGTGCGTCTGCACGTGCGTGTGCGTGTCTTCATGACCATGGCAATAAACGATGCGGAACGGGTGCGGGACGGTGAGAAGCTAGCTGAACGGGTGCGGGACGGCGAGAAGCTAGTTGTAACAGATTAACATCGGTACGCGTATCATAGCCGCATGCAGACGACATAGATGAGCGACTTACACTGAGCTACTCACACTACCGATCCAATCTTATAGTGAAAGAAATTATTCATCCGTAACTGAGCTGTCGGCGCTGATTCACTATGCAAAAACCTAAGCTGTAGAGTCACATGGTTTCAGCAGCAGCGACAGCACGTCTATCCCCCGGAGCAGTCTGCAGCCAGCCGCGTCCGCCCACTGCGCTATCGTACTAAACACGCAACGAACTTTGGCATTCATCAGCTACAAACACGCTAGCGCAGGGGATGCAGGGAATGCTGCTGGTCTGAGTGGTGCTACATGGCTATGCTGAGATGCTGCTATAACGTCGAGGGGTATGTGTAGTTTGGGATTATTCGATGTTTTAGTGCTGGAATGCAGGGATACTGGGATGCTAGCATGCACGGTAGCGCGCATAACACCACATGACCGTCCTACACGAAAGAGTAATATTACCGTGGAGATAAGGGCTCCTCATATATACTTGTGGGCTTACGTGAGAGCAAGTCGACGTTGTTCCGTTGTTTCTTCCTTTCACGTGTTTCCCATAAGCTACCACAGCGAAAAGTGTCGAGACGTCGTCACTAGCAACATAATGAACCTGATCAATGTCGGAATGCCACGCTAACATTTACGACGCCCCTCGCAAAGAAAATAAATTATTTCCATTATTTGAACGCAAATGGGACAGCAATAAGCAAACTATTGAGTGTCAGCAGTGCGCACAACCACGCAGTACGGTGTTGAGGAAACCTTGACATGACTTGAATCGAGTCGCAGTGGGCTGATGATTATTCAGCTGGTGTCGTTCGTCTGTTAGTTGGCGCGTTCTTTCTACTCGGCTAGCAACAACGCGGCTTATATGTGGTGGGGCAATAGCAGCAGCGTTGTAAATCAGATCTAGTCTTTTCGATCTAATACACCCGGAGATAAGTCAGCAACTGCCAATTAGGACGACATCCACCTTGTTTACATGCGCTGAACGAGACTACATTAAACAGGCATACTCCGATGGGGAGGATCAAGTTGAGACCTGTACGTGGTGATCCTGCTATGACGTTTGGAGGCGCCTCCAGGCTCCAACAGTTAACAATCCAACATAACCGAACTCGAAATACATATTGCGAAAGGTATTGAACCCAAGCGATTCCGCGCGACACAGGCAAGCACAAGTACTGACAAACATTGCGACTTTCTTAGAATACTAACAAAAATAGTGTGTGGCTATATATATCTCGCGCGCACGCTCTCTATCACTCTCTCTCCCTTTATATCTATATTATAAGAGAGGAGAGGCCGATTTTCTGACGCGGTAATCGTTACCGCGGTGAGCATCAAGCCCACGCCACCGATCTCAGTGTATAGCCTGTGTGTCGGACACCAACATAGGCTTATCCATATTTGATAAATCCACCCATATTTCTATATATAATAACGATAAATACTCCTTAATATGGGCGATAATTTTAGCAGCGGGATGATGTCAGAAAAGTAGAACAGTCTACTTCCCGCGAATGTAGCCATCTAGCGGATAAAAGCCAAAGCCTTGTTAATACCAGGTTAAACTTTGCCAAATTTATACATTTTTTTTATTATGCACTCAGTTGTCATAGACGAAAACAAGGTAAAGTTTGAATATATTTATTCACATA